TTGGCGTTATGGGCACTGCGTTGCTCCGAGAGCCTTCCGTAGAGGGCCAAATTAAAAAACCTGTGCCCGTGGAGAGAGCGGTAAAGGCTGTGTGCAGAGCCGCGTTTGTCCCTTCTTGCTTGCTCCGCTTGCTTTGTTGCTTTGCAGTATGTCTGTATCTTGTATTTCATAAGTAGGCGTGTAGGATTGAGCTGAAATGCATGAAGTGAACTAGAAGAGCAAACTGTAGGGTTTTTTTATCTTGGAGCTCTTTGTTCAGCTTCAAGTTACTTGAAACCTTTAGAGGATTGTTTACGTAATCCGTTGCTAGTCTGTATTTCCACTTTCTGAGCATTAAGGATGGGAGTAAGAGCGGGCCCAGTCTTCTGAATTGTGTGGCTGTGAGTGTGTAGTGCTTGGCATTACCATATTACCATGGGTTTTAATTCTCTTGTAGCTAGAAAGCCCTAGCACTGCTGTAAAGATTAAAATTTCAAAATGATGAATACAAAAAGCCTTTTAAAAGAGCAATGCACTTGATTCAGCATCCTGCTTCTGTAGGAAACTTTCTGCAGGAAACTTCCAGGCCTAGACAAAAGGAATGGAATTAGCCTGGTTAGCAGTGATGAGTATGTGGATTTATCATCAGGAAAATGAAGCAGTTTAAGCATTCCTTTGTATCGCTACATTGTTCTGAAGCATTAATTTGGTACTCTTTTTCAATGTATAAAGAAATAATCCTGTTTTGGTTTTCAGGTTTGAGTTTTGGTGGGTTTTTTTTTTTCATTCCTGACTAGCAATATGTTGGGGAACGTGTTTTTTGGTTTGGGGTTTTTTTTACTTTTTGGTGCTTCATTAATGTCAGACTGGTTGTATCTATTGTTCTGATTATTGTCTTTGCTTTCTTTGCTGAAGGGTGGCCTCTGGAGCAGGTCTTGCAGGATTATTCCAGACATGTTGTGCTGAGTTTAGAAAGTCATCTTGTAGGGTGTAGTCTGCTCCTTCTCAGTACTACAGAAGTTTCACACTACCTCTTATTTTCTGAACCTCTCACATACTGTCTTTTGTGTATACAAATACCTTTGTGAGTGCTGCAGGCACATTCTCTCCCATGTCCTCCTGTTGTTAAAAACCAACTTAAGATTTTACACAGCCTCATGAATTCAGATGAACACAAGATGTGCAGTGTCACCTTTTTGCCACATGAACACTCTTTGCTACAGTGTGCTGTGTATAGGTAGCATGACAATTGCAGTGGATAATAAAGTCTAGGTAGCCAGCTTTTTCTACATCGGTGTAAAGAACTAGCATCTTGGCAAATGGTTGTGATAATACTCAAATGCTATTTAGTTTACTGTTTCATTTCTATTAAAACTTAAGTATGAGTTACACAAGCCTTAGACTAATTTGGATTTTTTTTGTGCCAATGTTCCTCTCTATTGTCACCAGTCCTTGCTGTTTGTTTTTTTTTTTTTACTGTGTTTGTAGGAGAAGGTAGTGAAATAAAATCTTTGTTTCTTCCTGCTCAAATTCCAGAATGCCAGGACTAAGCTGTAGATTCTACCAGCATAAATTTCCAGAGGTGGAAGATGTAGTGATGGTCAACGTTCGGTCCATCGCTGAAATGGGAGCCTACGTCAGCCTGCTGGAGTACAACAACATTGAAGGCATGATCCTTCTCAGTGAGCTGTCCAGGAGACGTATTCGTTCCATAAACAAACTCATCCGCATCGGGAGGAATGAATGCGTCGTGGTCATAAGAGTTGACAAAGAGAAAGGTATTTGGGGATATTGTGGGCTGTATCACTACTGAATTCGTAGAGAGAAATGCAAGTAGACTAGATGGCGTAGGTATTGATTGGTTTTAGCAAGAGTTCTTTTTTTTAAGGCAAGATAGACCCATCATCATGCTGTCTGATACTTACGATCGTTCTTCTGTTCCTGTGTGTTCTTTGGGAGTTGGGTTGATGAAGGTCAATCACATCGGTGAAGATTTGCTTAAGTGGGTCCTCATGACATGGTTGACAAACCATAGTGAAGTGGAATTTTCTTTTGATATATCTGTATAGATTTTCTAAATCTTAAGAGAAGGATCACCTGATGTAGAGATAAAAGTCTAAATAGTGAACATTTAATGCTAAGTCCATCCTGTCCATTAACAAGTCTTGAACCGTGGCTATAAAATAGATTACGTGTATGTAATTATTGTGCTATGTGAATTCTGTAGATGACAAGTTGAGATTGTACAGGCAACCATGTATTCTCCTGTCTTCTGAATGTTTGAATTTTTTTACTCTAAAGATTTTAGAGTCTTCAGATTTTCAGTCTTGAAAAGAGAAGACTTTGGGGGGACCTAATAGCTGCCTTCCAATACCTGAAGGGAACCTACAGGAAGGCTGGGGAGGGACTTTTTACAAGACTGTCCACTGACAGGACAAGGGGAAATGGGTTTAAGTTGAAGGAGAATAGATTTAGATTGGATCTTAGGAAGAAATTCTTCAGTACAAGGGCGGCAAGACTTTGGAATAAATTGCCCAGAGATGTTGTGGCTGCCCCCTCCCTGGAGGTGTTCAAGTACAAGTTGGACTTTGGACAGAGCCTTGAGTAGCCTGATCTAGTTGAGAGGCGTCCCTGCCCATGACAGGGAGGCTGGACTAGATGATCTCTGAGGTCCCTTCCAGCCTAGGCCATTCTATGATTCTATGATTTTTTTTTAATACATTTTCTATTTAGAGTGTGCTGTATATTGATAATATTGTTCTATGCAATCTTTAAAATCTATACCCAAGTATAAAGTAATAACAACAATAAACTCTGAGCACATCTCCTATAAACCTGACTGTTGGTATGATGTTTCTCAAGTAATATGCATTTGTAGAGTACTTCTGAAACTACTCTGAGATTAAGAAGTGTATGACAGGATAAGAATGAGCAGAGGGGGAAGAAAGACAAGAAGAAACTCAAGAAGAAACTTATTTCAGATAGATCTGAAGTGAAATAAGTTTCTCAGAATCTCTAATGAAAGAACACCTCCTCTTAGAAATTTATTTCATTCTCCTATTAACAGAAATTCAGGTAGTGCTCTTCTATTGAATCTTTTGGGGAACCTGTAGTTTGTGAGAAGTAGGTGAACACCATTTCAAATTTGCCGAGAGATGATCCAGTGGAATTTCAGTGGATTTTTTTTTTTCCCAGACAGCTCTCTCAAAAGGGTATCCATGGAGCTAAGAGTCAGAATTGGAGGCCAGGCCTACTTCATTAGGGAACTGTTTAGAGCTAAACCAATAGAGTGCCAGCCTTAAATGAAATCGAGTGGAGCGCTACAGAAGTATGCCTCAAACTTGCGTCTTTGTATGCTGATACGATTTTTGCCAAGACTGCATGCAGCAACATAAAAACGGATCACTGATTGCTGAAATACTATGAAAACCTCTTGTGAGTTTACAGAGAAAGCATTAAGGCAGTAATTTTAAAGAACGTTGTACAACAGATTTGCTATTTTAAGTATTTACATTGGAAGAATATCCTAATTTAGATCATAAATCAATCAAATTCATTAAGGTTTGGTTTTGTTACTTTCTGTGGCAACACAGAGGGATAGTGTAGGCAAGGGGCCAATCCTGAGCCAGTGTTTGTTCTTTATGTGTTTCTCTTGAAGCAGTTAGACTTAGTTTGCACAGTGCCTGACACTTTCAGTATGGTTTTCCCCAATAGGTTATATTGACTTGTCAAAAAGAAGAGTTTCTCCAGAGGAGGCAATCAAATGTGAAGACAAATTCACAAAATCAAAGACCGTAAGTTGTTTTGCTCTCTTCAGGCACTCGGTATTTCCAGCTTCTTTCCTGAGCAACCGAAATGCACAGGCATAAGATAATACAAAAACGAAGTGCTGTTTTCATTTATTAAGGATACTCTATGATTCTCCTTTACCCATACAAATATATATATAATCAGTTCATCTGTCTATGAGTGCTCTGGTAAGCTGCTGCTTAATTAATGAATAGATCAAGTAAGACATTATAGAAAAATCTGAGGTGTAAAGGGATATATTTAAATGATCAGAAATCCGAAAGTATATGCTGATTTAGCACACTGCAGACAACTTTTATTGAAAAGGCATGGAGGTAGTTTAAGGCACTGACTTTACTACTTCGTGGTCTTACACTTCTGAGTAGAAGGCTTGCCATTAAATATTACTTTTGAGTCTAAATTTTTGTCTGTTTGGTATTTGTTTTGGTTTTTTTAACACTCCTTGTGTCTTCCAGGTTTACAGCATCCTTCGCCACGTTGCTGAAGTCCTGGAGTACACTAAGGACGAGCAGCTTGAGAGTCTGTTCCAGAGAACTGCCTGGGTGTTTGACGACAAGTACAAAAGGCCGGGATATGGTGCTTATGATGCATTCAAGCATGCAGTCTCGTAAGCATGTTTTTTCTACTTCTAGGGGCTTATTTCAGATTGCAGAGGAGTATTTCCTGGAATAATTCCATCATACTGTTTTAGTTTGGTTTGGGGGCATTTTTTTTCCAGTCAGTGTGTAGAATGTACTGGTCAAGTAAAACTTGTAAATTTTAACATTGGTCTTCTGGTTGATTATTATATGATTCTCTGTCTTGTTGCTTTCTTCAAGTTCCCAGTGCTCTTGAGAAAGAAGGCCCAGAATTGACTTCCTTTTTCTAGAAATGGAATTATTAACAGAAGGAAATGAAAATTGTGATGCTAACAGAGTATGCACCGATATAGATTGCTCTTAATTTTTATGGAATGTGTTGCTTCACTTTCAGAATTAACCTGTTTGTTTTCCCTCTAAAGATTCTATCGTGACATCAACAATCCAAAAATAGATTTCTCAACCATTTTCAATTTTACTGTTCTATAGCACATTAACTTACGTCTGATAGGCTTGAGTTAAACACTAGATGGCAGTATTAAAATTGTAGAAATTATGTTGACTTGAAGCAGGGCCCTTAGCAGCATTTTGATGAGCTTAAAGCCATCTCTGGTTTTGAGGAAGAGACAACTTGTATCCTCGTTTAGACTGAATATGTTCTGTTTCATAGAATAATAATTATTTTCTAATGATAGTAGATTTGCTGGTAGAGGGCCAATCTGGTCACACTGCTGTAGAAGGAATTTCAGATCATTCTTTAGCTGATAGATGCTTGGTTAAACATGTGTCGAGTAGAATAACAAACTCAGTAGTTACACTGGCTGTTTCTCTTAAACGCAAACATTCCTGAGCACACGTGCCATTTGTTGCTCATAGAGTCATAGAATGGTTTGGTTGGAAAGGACCGTAAGCATCACCTTGTTCTACCGTCTGCTCTTCCTATTGGAGCACAAATTTCAGAAGCTGTCTGTTCTCAAAACATGTTCCCATCAGTAATGCCATAAGATTTCTGACAATGAGTCGCAACTTTTATTTGTACCCATTGTGCTCCTACATAAATCTGTAATGATGGAGCAGAAAAATGTGGCTATTGCTGCCTTCCTATGCTTGCAAAGTGCTTGCAGGAGGCTTAACATGCCCTCTAAGAATTTGACTTGCTATTTCATTCTTAGTACTGAGGATTAGTGTTCTGAGGTTTCATGCAACATGATACCCATGGCAAAATTTCAAAGTAAAAACGAAATATTGAGGACGTAGTGCCTACTAAATGCTCGTGAAAGTAACTCAAAGATTTAACAGGATAGATAATAAATGAAGAAGCAGAATTTGCACATCCAATAAATCACTTCTGCCATAGAGGTTCATATTTTGATGTGTAAAATCTGACATATTTTTGGGTTCTCTTTACTTATGTTTTGGCCTTCTACTGTCTATACTGAATACAGAAAACCATGAAAGATGCTGTTTTATTAGCGAGAGACCAATCTCCAATATTACCTCTGTGTTTTGGGGCATTTTAGTTCATGTTTGCCTGCTAGTAGTATTGTTGGTGATCTGGTGTTGGTTTTCAGAGAACTGCAGCTCTTGTCTCTGAAGAGCAGGAACAGTATTTATGAAGAATTTCTTGGTTATGTTCTCTGTGTCAGACATGTTTTGGATAAAATTAATACAATGATAGAGAATTGACACCACTTCTTTACACATAAGCTGCTGATTTATATTGATAAACAGCAGAGGAGTTTGCCTCTGTGATCTCTGGATTTTAGACTGTTTGGATGTGATTTTATAAAAAGCCTTTATCCTTTTTTTAGCCAAAAATTTAGCCAGTAGATAAGTGTCTGTGATCCAGTTGCTGTTAAAACAGTACAGAATAACATGGAATGAGTATATGTTACTTTGTAGAGTGAAAAAATCTTGCGTTTGAATGAAACACTAAAATAATTCCAAAACCTCAGGTTCGTCATGGATTCATTTTTCATGCAGTACAGGTTTTATCTTCACATTGGAGGGAACATAAATACCAAGCAACTAGATATTTATCTCATTCTGTCTATCATATGCAAATGGAGCTAGACAAAAGTCATTCCTTTGCTTAAAAAAAATAGAAATCATTCATACCTTTCCTTTCAGGAACAGATTCAGTGATCCACTTACCTGCTTTCCTGTTAAGTGCTTCCATGCATTTGAAAGCAGACATGTTAATTTTCTTCCCGTGTTTCAGTGGACTTTTAAGAAATTTCCCTGTTTTCTTTGCCTAGTAGATCTCTAAGATTATGCAAAAGAATTTTCAGTACCAGAAGTTAATATTGTGTAATATTCCACTTCAGTATAATTTCTGTAACGTTGTTTTGCTTGGCTCAGAGACCCTACAATTCTGGATAGCCTAGATCTGACAGAGGAGGAGAGGCGCGTATTGATTGATAATATTAACAGACGTCTGACCCCGCAAGCAGTCAAAATCCGAGCTGGTGAGTTCTTTCTGGCTGTGCGTTGAACGTGACTTGACACCTAAGTCAAGTTAGTGTATCCTGTTACTGCAAACTTGGTTAAAACTGTTTTGTAATGCTTATATTTGAGTGGAACTATTGAGAGTTAAGAAACTTTAATCAAGGATTGCTTGCAAAATGCTATGTGGGTTCTGTCTCAAAATGCAGGCTGATTTGGCTTATATTTTTTTTCCCCCAAACTGCAGATTCTTTGGGATACAGGGTAGTTGTCCTGATATATAACGTAGTCTATCATATTACACCAGTATGCAATTAATTTAAGTATTTTATAATTAATACTGCATCCACAATATTCTTTTTCATTATTCTAAGTGTTAAATTCATTCATACCCTAATGAGATGATTTGTCTCTGCCAGCTGGGCTACCACAAATGCCTTAACCACGCATCCGTGAAAATAGTTCTGACGTTGCTCTGGGTGTATTTCGAACTGGTTTTTTTCAGGATGTATTAGCTCAAGCCTAGCACATTTTGAATGTATTCACAAAGTGCATGACCTAGTTTGTCTGTTATTAATTCAGTGCAGGCAGAGAAAACCCATGACTGCACTATTTCAGGCATACTGTAAAACTGGGAGTCTGGTTGTTGGGTTAGCTGTACCACTGAAAAGCACACTTGCCATTAAACATAGAGTCAATGTAGCACAGTCACATTTTTACGTAGATTGAGAAATTGCCTCTGCTCTGCAAGGGTATTCTGAAGAGCATTAGCACTTGTTGATTCTTGTGGAAAGAAGAAAAGACAAGCCATATCCACATGGCAGTGAAGTAAAGATAATGAAAAGTAAGATAATGAAAAACTCCTTTACCTGTTCCTTCAGGTGAACAGGAGTTAACATCAAAAGTATAAGTGGGATTTGATTACCATGAAGAATGAAATTGCTGATGTGAATAGCACTTCATCAGTTTTGAAAATGAAGTTACTTGACGAGCACGCTCTTACTTCCTTCTTCTGACCTATTTTGTTCTGATTGTCTGAGTTGGTTTTAGTTTTGTATTCAGAGCAAGCGTAGAAACTTTCTATTGGCTGGTAGTCTCATCCTACTGGGATGCTCTTCCATGGATTTGTTTCTGATAGCTTAGGATTAGCGGGGTTTTGTTAGTCACCTGGAAGTAAGACAGACTTCTCTGTGTGGCTTGGTCTTGCACCATCACTACACAGGTAAAGAATTCTTTGTTTTTAGACTAGTTGGGGTATTGCAGATATGACCAGCATTAGTTTATGCCTTAATTTCCAAAAATCTACTAAAAGCTATACTTAACTATCATTTTAGCTATATGATAATATAACTTACCTTAAAAAAATACAAAATCACAGTGCTCCTCAAGCGACGCCTTTATGCCTCTGTTGTAATTGTTGACAGAGTTCCATGAATTTGTGGATGTAGTTTGTTTCAGGTTTAATTTTCCCTGATATATCTTTCATTTTCTCTGATATTTATTGCTTTTATATCTTCATCTCGCCCTGTGAAATACATAAATATTCCTATTGAATTAATTGTGTGAGAGGTGAGTGAATGTGGGTGTATAATGCCATATTTTGGCTTCTCAAAGCACATTGTGAAATGTTGTGTGTCTAAAGAATTTATGAAGACGTTTACCTCACCTTACAAGTCAATAAATTGAAATACCTTCCTCAGCTTTGGGAGCTACTGAGGATCTCATTGTTGATAAACTTTGGCGTAAGTTAAAAAGCTTTGAAGATTCTACAGCTTTTGGTAACTTTAATGTTTTTTATTATTTGTATTCCTCTGTCCTAGATATTGAGGTGGCCTGTTATGGTTATGAAGGCATAGATGCAGTAAAAGAAGCTTTGAGAGCAGGCTTGAACTGTTCCACGGAGAACATGCCCATTAAAGTAAGAGTCTGTCTTAATAGTGAAATCAAAAAGTCTTGGTCAAAAGGCTACTGTACCCAGTCCTAATTTTCCTTCCCCAACAATTTTAGGATACTGAGTATGTTACTAAGTGTTTTCAAAAAAGTTGCAAGTGCTTTCTTCTTTGACAGTGATTTCTTACAAGAGTTTCTTCTTATAAACTGAAAAGATTACTTATTCAAACATCTAAAAAAAAAGTACTAGTTGTAGCACTCTTAATTGTTTGAAAAATTATGTGATAAGCTGTTCCACTGACCTGCAAAGTGGGTATTTTCTCTGCTTAAGAATATTTATCTAAATAAATATACTATGTAGAAATAACTGATGCTGATACTGGAAATCAGGGAGTCTGTGCATTTTCTTGTCTGCTATTTCAGTCCAAGTTGTTTATGCTTCCTAGAAGGTTCTAATAGGAAAATGTTTCTTCTCAGAATTGTATGTTCGAAACAGTATTACTCACTTTGCTTTTGATATTTTTCTTTGGGTTTGTTACTGAGTTTGCCTCTTTTTTTTTTTGCTTTTCTTTTTCCTAATCCCTACAATGTGATAGATTAACCTGATAGCCCCTCCTCGTTATGTGATGACTACAACAACACTGGAGAGAACTGAAGGACTGTCTGTTCTGAATCAAGCCATGGCTGTAATTAAAGAAAAAATTGAGGAGAAGAGAGGAGTCTTTAATGTGCAAATGGAGGTAAGAACACATTCTAAAATGTCATAGGTTTGTTGTTTTTTTTTCTCGCAACATTTTTAAAGTAGAGATCAGTAGTACTAGGAGAAATTTTAGCAAAAAGATACTAAAAAATTAAAAAGCCTCTGAACTTCTATGTTCCTTAAATAAACAAATGGCTAAAATTTCTTAATTTTCCTGGGGTTTATTGTGTGACTTCAGGATGTATTTTCGCTTGCTTTTCATGTAGGATCAGAGTCTACAAACATATAGGATGTTTCTTTATGACATTTCACCACATGTTCTGGTTTGTTTGGTTTTGGATTTTTTTCAGCCTAAGGTGGTTACTGACACAGATGAGACTGAGCTTGCAAGGCAGTTGGAGAGACTGGAGAGGGAAAACGCTGAAGTGGATGGGGATGATGATGCTGAGGAGATGGAAGCCAAAACTGAAGACTAAGTGTTCTGGGATATTTAGAAGAGACACCACATGAAAAATTAGAGACCCCGTTGCAAACACTCTGGACTAAATGTTTCCAGTATTGAAAACTTCCAGTGCAAATACTTGAAGTGTTTTACTGTTTTAGTAAGACCAAAATGTAAAAGGCTCTTCTAAATAACATTTGATGCAGCAGCTTACACAAATTGAATCCTTTGCAAGGAAGGTGCCTAGCCAAATTCAAGACAGATCTGGCCAGAAGGAAGTTGCAGCCCCATACTTAATATTTTCATACCTAACACTTCCTAGTTGGTAATTACAGCTCAGTGCATCTGTTAATGATCTTTCCTGGGAGCACCAAAACCAAGTAAGCTGAACAGTTCTATACAGAATGTATTTGGGCAAATGTTCAATAAATTTCTGGGCTGTGTAACACCAAGATTTTATTTTTGTTCCCCCCTCTTTTGTCACATGGCCTAGAGTGGTGAGAACATAAAACCTGGAAGGGTATGATCAGTGGGTGACTTCCTTTTAACCTTGAAAGGGCTTTCTTCTCTTTGTTTTAAATCCAACCAAGAATGAGCGGAACAAAGTTTTTTTCTTGCAAGTTTGTTGCTGCAGACTTGTTCGAAAGAGCATTTCCTTTATCATCTGTGTTTAGGGACTGAGAGCTTGAAAACTTTGAAAATAGCTTGTTGCCATTCCAATAAACAGCTGATAGATGAAAAGTTACGTACAATTGCACTTTGCCACTATTTTGAATATAGCAGAAGCTTTAATGAACTTACTCCAAAATAGGCAGTACTGTCTTGTAAGCTCACTGCTGCGTGACCTTCAGTTCTGCCTACCATAAATCTGGTTTACACTGGACTGAGCTATTCTCCCTAGAAACAACCTGTTTGTCTTCTCTGAAGAAGGGAAGCAAGAGGTGCTTTCCATGTTAGAGTATTAAAAAATAGAATAAAATCTGGTTTTCCTTGTCTGTGGCAATTGGGAGGGAGGAGATGGTTTTGTTTAAATACCCTTTCCCAATTGCTAAATTTTTACACGTTTATATCTAGTTTTTATTGTCATGTCTCATATTTCCCATTTTTTTCTTATTATTTTGTGCTGCTGGAGGAGAAATGCATGAAAAATGAGGCTTTGAGCATTAACTAGGAATTCTTAATGCTGTCACAGTACAAATAGTATGTGTTGTTGGCACAAGACTTCCACAAAACGCGTACTGCAAGTCCAGGCCTGGTTGTCAGAGGGAGTTCACACATAACCTGTTCTAATAGTAATGGAAAGCCAAAAACATTAAGTCACTTCCAGTCTTTGCAGAACGTTGGAAAATGGTTGGAATATGTCATCACAGAATGAAACAATTTTTTAATTTATTTTCTCACATTGCTGTCTTTTGAGAAGCTGTGTATGACAGCCTTGTGGTAATGTCAGTTTACTATTTGGCTCTTCCAGTTTTGCCCGTTTGCTGAAATAGTGGTTTGACTTCCATTAAACACAATGTATGAGTACTTGGACTAGAGAACAGAGTGTTTAAAAACTTACTCACTGCGTGATCTGTATGCTAAAATAATGCTGTAAAGCAAAGCACCAAAAGATGAGCCACCGATGCACTTTCCTTGGAGTGCCATCAGGGAGTTACAGTATCACCTCAAAGAGCTGTTTTGGTGCATTAACAGGTAAATGTTGTTTCTGTCAGTAGAGTTAAGCTAACAGGAGCTTTTCTAATTGGAGCCTCAGCGTGCCAGTGTACGTAATTCTGCGTAAGTCCTGAGTACCTGAATAAAAATGACTGATCTGGTGAAGTCGATAACAAAACAGATGAAGATAAATGCATTTCAGTCACTAGTTACCCTGGCAGATAAAATGGTGTTGTCCTGGTGTCTGAGCAAATTTTACCCAAGAAACTTGAATGAAAGACATGACAACTTGGGGGGTATTTCTCCTGTGTTGCAGTAGCTGGGAGGAGGAGAAGGTCTAAAACAGCTGCCTTGGAGGCCTGTTAGGGAGGTGTGTGTAGGTGAGCACTGAACCTGTGAAACCCACGCCGGGCCTCAGCTGGGCTGTGTCAGTTGCCTTTGGCTGTGACTTGAGAATCTTTAGGACTTGCTGAGATAATGCTCTCTATCTCGGACAGTATTTTGTGTCCGTTTGCTTAGCAAGTGCTTAAAATAAGGGTCCTGGGTTTTTTGGGAAGTTCTTCGTTGAAGTGGCTGAGGTGAGGTGGTGTGTTCCTGCAGTTCCTTCCCAGCTGTGCTGTTTACCCAGCTGTGCCCAAACCTCCACTTGCACTCGTGCAGTCAGCTGAAGGGCTGCAGGTGTACCTGCGAACAGGGCTTGGCCCACTATGTTAATTGTAAGGATCTCAGCTTGACTTTCGTATCGGAGGTTAGCTTTGTAAGATTTGAAACTTGGGAACAGTTTTTTACTTATAAAATGACTTATTAATGCAAAAAAAAAACCCAAAAAACCAAGCAGGGTACCAGCTCAGGTGAGGCACACAGATCAGTAACGTGTTGCCTAATATTTCTGATGAGGGAGATAGTGGCTGCTGTAGAAGAGGTGTCCTGCTTCTTCCAGGCTGTTGTTCTTTGGTTTTTAATCCAGTGACATTTCCTTGCTGTTTTCTCTCAAATTCTGGCCTTTGGCATTTTTTAGATGCAGTGGAGCTTGCATGTTGTTCTTTATAGCGGAATCTGCACTTTGGTATTTTGTTTCAACAAGATTTTGTTCCAGAGTCAAGAAAATTAAACAACTGTTTTCAAACACTGTTACCTTTCTACAGTTAGTTTTGAAAGTGCTGTTGCGTCAGAATGCTTCTGAACACTTGTCTTTTGCTTTTTATGTAGAAACGTTTCATGTTTCTCTATTTTGATGTGGTTTGTTTTCATCTTATTTCATTTCTAATCCACTAAAGGAACTAAATATTTAGTCATGTCCTACACCAGAGGGCAAAGTCCTAGCATCGTAAGAGGCTGCTTTGAAAAAGCTGGGTAAATGTAATCCATTGTGTGACACGATGGGCATCACAGGGCATACGCTGAGGTTTGTCCTTTGGGCACCTGCTCTTAATCAGCTATTTGTAGCTGCTTGAGGGACTGGCCTGGAGGTACCAGCAGTATCTGTCAGGTCAGCCAGCTGCAATAGCACAGCTCGTGCTCGGAGCCAGCTGTTCCTGCCCTTCCCTTTAACCCTGAGTAGCGTCCTGTGGTCCTGAAGCCTTCAGCCACTTACTCCCAGCCATCCCAGTGCAAATTCTATAGCACATAAAGTATTTTGGGGTGACTTTGGATGAAAGAAAATGGCAAGTGCTGAACTGTGCTTTTTTTGTTAAAATGCTACTCTGACACGTGGGTAGCACTCTAAAATGGATCTGAGGAAACAGTTTCCTCCCTTCAGTGAGTTTCAAGTCCCATGAAGACTTGGTCTAGAGCTCCCAGGGTTTATGTGAATCAAAGCATGTCCTTTTCCACTGGGAGACTTCAATGCCAGAACTTGCCCTCCCAGCACATGTGTGAATACGGCAGCCCAGATCTACTGACTCATTCTACATTATATGACCCTGAGATCTGCATTTACTCAGCCTCGGGGAGCAACATAGGGGCAGTTTGTTAGCCTTGATTAACTGCTGAATGAGACAGGGAAGGGTGTGTGTGCATGATAAATATCCTGGAGTAGCGAAGAAATACTTTGAAGTGTTGAAGGAAGTTGAAGGCTCTATATTAGAAAAAGTAGTTGATACAAAACCTGTTGTTTAATGACCAGCTACAGCAACACTTTCTTCACCATTCACCAGCAGTTCAACAATAACATTCTTTGTTGCTGGTGGTAATTTTGCCAAGATCTGTCCGCAGGGTTGTGGGTGGTCTGCACGCTGGAGAGAAAGAGCTCGCCCAGATCTTTGGCGAGGGCTGTTATGGTGCAATTCTGAGATCACTGTCTGAGCGAGAGCCCCCTGCAAGCTTCTACCTGCCCTCACTAGCACAAAATTATTTCACTCCCCTTGTTATAAATTGCCTGCAGGAACAAGCTGAACAATGTGAAACCAAGCCCCAAACGGTGGAGCACACTATTCCTGGGGCTGCTTATATAAAGTATGCGTGTCTGGGTAACGCGTGCAGCAGCAATGTTTCTTGTGTTCCTAGGTTCAAGTTTTCTTCTTTTTTCTGAAATTCATTTTCTTTTTTTCTGCTGACTGCATCAGCTTTTTTTCCAAGATTCTACTTTTGAGTACAACTTCTCTTTATATATACATTTATTTATATACACAGAAACAGGGATTAGTTTCTAAATTAAAACAAATACACTCATTTAATTTCTGCTTTATTCCTAAGTTTCTATAATATAAAAAAATCACCAAAAAATTCCGTTGATATCTTTGAAAATACTACACACCTACAGCAAAAAATATTCTTCCAGGGGCTTGTTAACTTACTGTACTTACTTTGGGTGGACTGGAGAACAAACTTAACTGGGACATAACTTATACAGCCGGGTGCCTGGTGGCTGCCTGCCTTGTTCAGAGTGGCAAAGGGAGTACCGCAGGCGCTGCATAAGTAACTTCCACGTGGCCCAGCGGCTTTTGAAATCACAGCCAGCATGCTTTCTCATTATACAGCCATGGGTTTTTCAAACTTCAGGTAGTGTTCAGCCATCTGCTGTATTTCTCGTGATCTCTGTAGAACTCTGGGTTGTCTGCCATACATTGTCAGGTTTGAATTCTTCGGTGTCTTGCTTTTCCTCGCTAAAAGTTTTAGAAAACTATATAAAGAAATTATTTGCTTGTTCTTTATCCTTGGTACATGAAAGTGTGACCTGTAATCTGATCCAGTGTGCAAAGACTGAGAAATACTTGAGTCAGAGTTGACTGAACTCTGGACTCTTTTTACATAGCAACGAAGGCTTCTGTTTATTTGTTATACTCTGTGTTGTGTTTCTTCTTATCACAGCCCCTAGCTCTGCCCAGGCACATCGCCTTAACTTTTAGTACAAGTTAGGGAATGTTAACAGTACGGCAAAGAGTGTTAATATCTAAACAGCAGCGCTGTCTGAAATACTCTTAATAGTTTATTTCATCAGGACAAGTTTTGATAAATCTATCAAACAGTTATGATGGCCAAAGTCTTCAGAAATGCGATAAACATCTAAGCATGTGGTCAGACACAAAAAGGCACTCCGTTTTGGAGGTTCTTGGGAGTTGCAAGAGGTCACTGCAGATCAAGCCTGCTTTTACTAAAAGCACAAATAGTTGCTTATGTAGGGATTTAGGGCATTAAGTTAAGAATCTTGGTTTCTATACCCAGAGGTCACTGACATTAGAGTGGGCTTTTAGATGCTTTGGGGTTTCTTTGAGGAACTGAAGTACTAGCAGAATTTTTTTAAGATTCTTAGAAGTCTCTTTGTAATCGTAACATTCTACATGTTACAGTTAAGCTG